GTAAGGAGTTATGATAACCACTTTCGGATTTATTGGTGCAGGATTCATAGTAGATGATTTCACAGTGATAATAACACGGTCATTTGTTCTCTACTTAGGTTTAGAATCTTCTGATGCAAAAATGCCATCTTCTCTTTTTCCTGGTTCTTCTTCAAAGAACTCTATCTTTTGTCATTCATCAATTTTTTCACCAAATCCCTAAATTCATGGCATAGTGGAATTCCATGTCCCTTTTCTTGATGATATTCACAATAATTCTCGCCTTCATTATACTTTGGCTTGAATTGTTGCTGAACCATACCGATAGGGAAAGTTGTTGAAATATCCAACCAAAGGAGATTTAATCTCAGAAACATCCGTTTTTGCTTTCCTTCCATTCTCTTCATGGATTGCATTCACGTTTTTATCTCCATGATTTGGCAGCAGTTGATTTGATGTAGCTGGTGAATTGAATTCCAGTTTTCCAGTATTAATCAAATTTTGGACCACCCTTTTGAATGCCAAACAGTTTTCAATAGAGTGACCCGTAATTCTGTCATGATAAACACAGTGTGCTTTCACATCGTACCATGGAGGGAATGGTGGTTGTATGGGAATCAATAGATAGGGTCTATAATATCTGCCTTTAACAGCGAATCATAGATCTCAGCATATGGTACTGGTAAGGGTGTAAAGGAAAGCCTTTCATTTTCCCTGCGAGATCCTCTAGATTCCGTTCGATTAGTGTTTGTTTCCTCCTTCTTAACCCTTGGTTGGGTTATCGTAACACTTTTCGAGGTGTCCTTGTTGTAAGCATTCGCATTGTTAACTTCATTCTCCTTTTTTCAGTACTTCTTAACCAAAGAAAATATGGGATGTCCCCGTAATACTAGTAGAACTGCAGCTTTCTATTTGAATCCTAACTCTCCCAAATGCCTCGCAAATCTTGCATATCGTTTCTTTTTAGAGAAACCGGTAACTTACTAACTTAGGTACATAATCATCCTGCAGACTGTCTCCCCCTTGCCTTGTATGAATATTTCAAGAGTTCTCCAGAAATGACCAGATCTGCAAAATTTCTGGTTGCGTTCCCCATTAAATGGCTTAAATAGGAAACTTTAAAGTGTGGACGACATCAATGTGGCTTTTTTTTCTGATAGAGGTGGCTGAACTTGGGCCGCTGTGTCATGCCATCTCGAGCGTACTGTCTGAATGTTTCGTTGTTCTTTTTCTCCAGATTTTGGAGAGTCCTCTATCAGGGACCTATCTGTAACGTGGCAGTACTGCTCTAGGAATGCTTTTCCAGATCCTTCCATGATCTAATGTTGGCTTTGTCTACCCAACTATTTCTTATTTAAACATGCTTTCTACATAACATAATCTAAATTCTCATGCAATTTATTCAGCATGAAAATAAATTAATTAATTAAAAGGAAAAAGTTAGAATTCATTTCTCCTTTATGTACACCTATTTTGGACAAAATTTCGGTATGGCTTCAAATTGGAAGAGTTTCTAGGGTTTACTATATGCAGAGTTTCAGTTCTAAGAGTAAAGGTACTCAAACTGTCCTTGTTGATGCCCCCTTGGGCTGCCAACCCTCAATCCTAGTCCACTACAAACTTAAGCGGATCGAGTTCAATTCGAGAGGACACATTTCTCTCTTCCTGACACGGAGAATAAATTCTCATGAAGACATAGGATATATGAACCCCAAAAGTTACTTGCTAGGTCTGACACGGAGAATAAATTCCCACGAAGACGTCGCTTTCACTCCCATTTAAAAGGGACAAGCTTGATTATAAAGCTTATGTTATGCAATGCAAGTGTTGTGTGTGAGGAGAAATTTTCAAACCTCTGACAAACAAATAAATAATGAAATTTAATACTTGAAAATAAAATAAAAATATTAATAAAAAATAATATATATAAATATTATGAAAATAATAAGTATATAGGAAAATTTTGAAAGGAAAGAATTATAAATTAAATATATGAATTTTTAATTTCTAATTAATAGAGACAATTTATAATTGATTTTAAAGTTTAACCAGTCCCCAGCGCAGTCGCCAAGCTGTCGTAACCGGTTTTTGCCCGGATACGAATTTTTACTTGACGGAAAAATAAAATGAATAAATAAATGATTTTGATTTTAAAAAATATTTTGGGAGTCACCATTGACCTTTTTGAGTTAGGTAGGTCAAATACCTAAAAACAATTTTTTAAAATAGTTTTTAAAAAAACATAATTTAAAAGATAAACTGATCTGCGTATAACCAAAAAAATTTAGTAAAGGGATTCATGGTCGATTATATTTAGGGAAGGATTAGCACCCCTATAACGCCCAAAATTGGTACTCATTAATTATAATTTGTCTCTATTATTGGAAATTAAAAATTCAAAAATATATTTAATTCATAATCCTATTATTTCAAATAATTTAAGAAAATATATCAATATCTATATATATATTTTTATTTTATAAATAAGATATTAATTTATTTAGAATATCAGAAATGACTTCCAGGTGCTTTAAGACACCCCATTTCTTAATATAAAAAATTAATAAATATTAATAAATTTTTTTTCTAAAAATAATAAATAATATATAATTTAAAAATAGGATATTTATTCATTAAGAATATCAGAAAATGACTTCTATGTGTTTTAAGACTACACATTTCTTAATATTAAAAAAATAAATATTAAATATGATTATTTTCTTAAAAGTAATTTATGTAAAATTAAAATAGGATTTATTATATATATATATAAAAATAAGTAAATAAATACATTTATTATATTATATGATATATAATAATAACAATAATAATTAAATATATAACATGTAAAATTAAAATAAATAAACAATGACTAAAATAAAAATTAAAAGAATTAAATGAAAGTATTAAAATTATGATTAATTTATAACATATTAAATTAAATACCTTAATTCATAATTATTATTTAAAGTTTCAGTGGCTAAACATGTTATTTTACCCATTTATTAATTTAGTGACTAAATTAAAATTATATAAAATTTGAATATCAAATTAAAATAAACTAAAATGCTGTTCGTGATTAAAATAATCATTATTAAAATCATAATGGCTAATTCGGTTATTTTACCTAAAATATATATAATTATGCAAAGGACTAAATTATAAAATAAATAAAATTCACAAACCGAATTAAAATATTCGTAATTTAGATCTAGTGACTAAAATATAAATTTATAAATTTAAGATGGTTGCGGAAAGGGTTTTACCCTTATCAAATTACACACAGGCCCCTCCCCAGAACGACGTCGTTCGGGGAGGGGTATTTAAACCTTAAACTGAATGGCCTTAAGGCCATTTTTTTTATTTCTTCTTCCTTCTCTCTCTCTAATGAGAGAGTTTTTAAAACTCTCTCGCCTCTCTCTAGGATTTCCTCACCGGAGGGAATCCGATCACTGGCCAACAGCCACACGTCGCCGCCAGCCCCACCGCCGGCCACCGTCGCCGGTGGCCGGAAAATACAAAAACTTTCCAAACGATACCCAAATCCGACCCTAGTTTATCCTAAAAAGCTAGGGATTTTTATAGATCTAGAGAAATACCTTCGGTATTTCTGTTTCTGTGAAGGTGCGTAGGGTCTCCGGTCACCGTGTGACTGCTCTGGTAAGCTTCTCGATTTTCTTTGTTATATATTTGGTTGTTGTTTTTTTCTTTGCTTGTTGTCCTCTCCTCTGTTTCACAGGTTTAGTGGCTTTTATAGCCACCACCGAGCCTCTTTCGGACCGGGTAATATGGAGGTTTTTTGGTGAGTCACCAAACTATTGTGGTGACTCACCTTGTAGCTTGTGATGTGGGCGGCTGTATTAGGATCTTTGGAGGTTTCTGTTGAAGCCGTGGCAGTGTGGCAGCAGAGACTGGAGGCGGTGGCAGCGGCTGGCTGATGAACGGTGGCCATGTGGCCCTATGGTATCATAACCCTAGGGTTTCATGTTGGAAGGATTTGGACCGTTGGATCAAGGTCAAATCCAACGACTAAGAAGAGGAGCGGCGGCTGGAGCTGAGATCAAACCCTAAATGGGTTTTAAGGTTTCTGTTAGGTTTGGGCCAGTCTGTTGGGCCAGAAATGTAATAATAATATTTTTTATTAATAATAATAATAATAATAATAATAATAATAATAATAATAATAAATATAATAATATTATTAATAATAATAAAAGCAGATGGATGGAAAAAAAATTAGTATCTTCACCTTCTCATCTGCTACCTTGCGTGATTGAGACTGGAAACGTTGATCATGGCTATCAGTTTTTTGATTGTATTGCTCCAGCAACAAATAAGTTAGTGTTAACTATATGTTACAAATATATTAAAACTAACATGACATGCTCTAGCTCTGACCATTTTGGCAAAAAAAAAAAAAAAGACTACGCACGTCCCCATCCCACCCCCACACAGCACAACCCAATAAGAACAATAACCATCAATTTGATGGCAATGTTGCCAAAGAAATTTGATGGCAATGTTCTGGCATAGCCCAGACGTTAGATATGACCCAATGTTTCACAAGTTTTTTCATTACAAGCAAATCACTACACATTGTAAATGTAGTGGGAAGCAAATTCAAATACCATGAAAGGGGATTGTGATACAAATTGATATAAGGAGATGGTCTACTGAAATTTGAAAGACATTTATAATCTCAATAGCAGCTCAGTTTTTTGGCGCAGGAAACCAAATCTGCTCTTTGTATTGATTCAAAGAATTGGGAGATCTAGAAAACCAACATCTGCTTTCACCACAAGATTAAAAAAGCATACAATACTGCAACCATCTCAATCCCAGCATCTCATCATACTTCACAATTCAAATACATACCTTTTCCCTGGAGTTCATTTGTATCATATTTGGATGCTCGTCTTTCCCTTTACCACAAGTTTCTGAATCTATAAAGTAGAGCAAAACAGAGTCATGTTAAGTCAATCATAAAAGACGCTATATGCATCCAAGTAATACACCTTTCACTTCTAGAATATCAGCATCTTTTGGATCCCTTGGTCGATCCGAATCATGATTCCCATCAGAGCTGTGATGAACTGTAGAACTAAAATCCTTCTCTTTGAAAACAACTACTTTGGGACCTTTCAATCCTTTGGCAGCTTCCTAAATAACAAATCAACAAAGAATAAAATGCATACTGCAAAAGCACTTCAAGAAAAATGTTGAAAGCAAACTGCACTAGATTCGTAAATCTCAAATCTACCTGTTCAATTGCATTAAGTCTTATATCTTCCATATACTTCTGTATCAAACAAAGCAGATGAACACATTAGAAATAGACCCCCAAAAGAAGAAGAAAAAACAGTATACAATAGATCCAAGCAGATAAATTCGTACAATACTGGCAAAATCCCCCACAAAATCCTTCCGCCCTGCCGTAACAGAATCATAAATGTAAAAACAAGAACAGTCAACATCCCGACAGTTAAATTAAATAAAAATACAAAAGGACAAACAAAAAAAAGTATCAAAATTTTTTTAACAGAAAAAAAGGTAAGCTTGCCTGTTTTAACTTAAAAGTTAAAACTATCAAATACTGTTCATTAATCTAAAATCAATAGATTTAAAGAAGATTACCAATAAAAGCTATGGGTTTAAAAGTCTCTGCGAAACCAATACGAATTGAGCGAATACCAAGAAAGAGAAAAAAGAAAGGATTAGAATCCTCTGCCAATGACGACACTTCTTCATGAATGAATAAAACTGCTAAAATTCCCTGAAAGTCTCAAACAGAAAGTAAAGTACGATAATCGCTTATTGAGCTTTTTGTTGTCCTAATCGTTCTCCAAAAACAATCAAAATTCAAAGGTTCCTAGAAAAAACTAGGGTTTCTAGTGGTGATCTTGCTGCTCTTTCCAAAGGGGAAAAAAGTAGTTTAAGAGGTTCGTTCACGTTCTGCTTACGGCTGAACTAGATGGTCTTTCCTTTTCTATTATCTTCGCTTCCAGCATTTTATTATTATTATTTTCTATTTGATCTGGAATTTAATGTTTTCTGATCTGGAATTATGGGTTTATGTATGAAATCTAGGGGTTCGAACTTTCGCAGAAAGGATTTGAATCGCGAGAAATGCGAGCGTGATGTTCGGTGGTGCCGCTGTCATTTATTGATGATAAGACCGAGGTTTAATAGTTGTCATAAAATATTTGTATTATGAGACTGCAGCTGAGATGATGGATTTACACTCTTCCTTAAAGTTGTAGCTATATGTCTTTTCTCAGATTTTGTGGGCTCCCTCTCCGGACTATTGGAAAACTGTATCAAATTTTAAATGTGGTCGGTCTTCGGCTGCGTTGTGCATATTAATCTAAGGGTATATATATATATATATGGTAAAAAATTTATTGTTATTTTTTAGATTTTGAGTTTGAGCAAGTGTGAGCATTCAATGTAAAATAATTGAAAGATATTTTTGAATAGATATTGTATTGTACTTATATATATATATAATGCTAAAAATAACCCCAACATTTACTAAAATGGTCATTTTGGCCCATATTTTTTTATTATTATTTTGGCCGCCAATATTTCACTTTGAGGCAAAAAGCTCTCTCAATAAATGAAAATCATTAGTTAGCACACGATTAAAGTTCCAAAATAAGAACTTTTTTTATCTAGAAAAAAACATTGAGGGCTTAAATGACCCCCAAAAAAGAGACAAAATGATTATTATGACAATGTTAAGGGTCTTTTTGCTCTAAAATGAAACTTTAAAGGCCAAAATGCTTTAAAAAGTAGAATAAGGGGGCAAAATGACCATTTTGATAAACGTTGGGGCGGCTAATTTTGATATTATGCCTATATATTATGATACTTAAAATTTGATTTAAGGTGTAATTTGGCATCTAGTACTTTTGGTGTTCAATTAGGAACATAAATTTGGTCTCAAGATATGATTCGGTATTTAATTTTTTTTTTATCCAATTAGGTACTTGAATTTAACTTTTAGGTTCAAATTGATATCTCAATTTGGCTTCATGGTTCAAATTGATTCAAAATAGTTATTTGTTGTAAGTACCAGTTTGGGTATATATATATATATATATCACTTTAAATTAATAAGTCAAATTTAAGTATCAATTAAAATAAAAAAATGAAGTTCAAATAAGTAACGAAAAATGCAAAGATGATTGACTAAGTGATTTTCAAGGTTTAGACATTTAAACATTGAAATTTAAAGTGGTCCTACTCATAATCAAAGAAAAATACTCTGTGAACCTGTCTTAAATTTCTGAATGGTGAGATGGATTTAAGCCTAGTCAATTAAACTCTAATATGCCTTGTTCCTAAAATCTATAACCCCAAAGCTATAAAAAAAAAACTTTAGAATCCATCAGTTTTTTTTATCATTTATTTATAAAACGGTGTCAAAAGTTATAGTTACCCGACTTAAGAGTATTATGCCATCTTGTATCTATTAAAATCAAAGTGTCTTTGTAACACTCTCAGACCCGATATAGTGACCCGATTCGATCCGATGTGTCATATTAGGGACACCAGAGTGATCCACAGTAAAATTCAGGAGAATTAATTTTTTTGTTAAAACATGTAAAATCATAAAAAATTTATAATTAAAATACAAGTTCAGAAAACCATTAATATATTACAAACATAATTAAAATCATACAAGTTCCAAACTCAGTATAAAAAAATCAAATATGACCTACATGCCCCCTAATTACACTTGTACAGTACTCTACAAACAAAGCCGAAAGAACTCTCATTATTGATGTCGATAATTGCACTGAATTTATTCTTTTAACCTGAAATGGTGAGTAAAAGAGTGAGATTTGGGAAGCTCAATAATACAGAACTACCAAAAGATGCTGAAAGACATGCAAATAAATACCAAGCATTTAAAATTTTCTTATTGGTTCAAACATCTACAGGTTTCCGTGATGAGTTTAGGTTCCACTGATATTTCTTCAGATAACATACAAGTAGCTTATAACTCAGAAGAAACGTTTAGAATACCAAGTTCAGGATATTGAAACAACGTCTAGTGTGTTCCTTCAAAACCAATAAATGTAATCCTAGTTTAAAAACAATAGTAGTTATTTCAGTAAAATGGTTTTTAAAATCATTGTAGTACCCTCCATCCGAATACTCCATGTGAAATTCCCCAGGACATCATCCATAAGGACTTACCCTAAACCTCTAGGATCTAGGATTCCAATATGAATGATCAGAACAGAAAGGATTTACCAGCTAGCTGAACCTCATAGACTCCAGAATCCTACCCAATCAATACCCCAATAAAACAATTTCAAATAGAACAAGTAATACCAGGAAAAAAGAAAAAAGAAATTGGGTTTTTATTTAAAATACAGAGTTTCCCTCCAACTGTACACCAAATGCAGTACCCTAAAACAGACATCCATAAGGACTTACCCTAGACCCCTTGGATCTAGGAGTCCAATATGAATCTTCATAACAAAAAGGATTTACTAGCTAGCTGAACCTAAGAATCTCTAGACACATACCCAGACAGTACCCCCAATAAAACAGATCAGATAACAAACAGTAATTATAAAAAATAAGAGCTAATTGTACCTTGTGTCACAAATCAAAAACCGTATATCATAAACAGTACTTTATATAAATCAGAGAAAAAAATTTTGTCAATAAGTAACACACTAGAGGATCTAGATATTTTTCAAAGGCGCATAGAAATTATCAGGAATAGAAAGTATGAACTTATGCAAAATTGATCAAATTTCAGGATCGAGGTCTTTATTAAAAGGTTTTAATTGCTATCGGATCTAAATAGACATTCAGAGATTGATACTTCAGGACCATTTAGGATCTCAGGTATATCAGAAAGGTATTTAGGAACCTTTACATCAAAATAAATTAAGATTTTCATATATAACCAGCGATTCCATTATTTAGGCCATCAAGGATATTTCGGTCACTTTGTTTTCTAGTAGATTCTTAGCAACTTAATCCAATAAGGGTGAAACAATGATTTATGGTATTGAAGGTTCATGTCGATTTATCAGGATATCGGGTCAACTCGAGCTGAACAAATGCCAACACTGTGATACTTATCAACCACTCAAATCGATACACTTCAAGAATATTTATACTTTAATATTGATAGCACTAGTGATCATCTTCAAAACCATCGTTGAATATATCGTAAGGAACTCTATGTATTCTGATGGTATTTGTTTTATTTATGTATTGCAGTAGTCTCCAAGATGACCAACATACTTGGGTCATCTCTATAACTTTTAGGGGTCGTTAAAATATTTAATGCTTTATTAATACTTTCAAAACATGTCTACAAACATTTCCTTAAACCAGATCATTAGGGTATTTGTGTCATTTCAGTACTTCGAGTTATTTTAGTCATTCTCTTTTGATTCAGTCTTATCATATAATTCAGCCATTTCAAACCATTCAGACGTAACTGATACCTTGGTTAGTTTATTCTTCAGGTGTTTGCTTAGTAACATAACTCTAAGTGTGATTTCCAGGGTTATTTTCCACTTTGGGCACAATTCTCATCTTTTTACATCATAAGGATATTTTTATAATTTTACCCAACATGAGTATTTTCATAATTTCTTTTCCAATTATTTTCGGCATTTAACCATTTTTCAGAAGAAATAAGAGTTTACAGATTCTTAGGTTACTTGAATTACCAATTAACCACTGAACTTGAAATTATTTCTCGTTAATCTTCTAGTTCCTTATACGAGTCCATCGAGTCTTATTCAATTTTTCGCCTTTATACCGTATTCTGTATTAGTTTCATAAATCCTCAATAAGCAAGAGACTAATCATTTTCATTCATGGAATTATCAATTATCAATGAGTACAATAAAACATTAAAAAGGTAGTAAAGTATTACCTCGATTTTTTACCTACACCAATCAACCAATTAAACTCCATTTGGTCTCTCTTGAACTTAAATTCGATGTCCCAAAAAGTTTCAAATACACAGCAAAACAGATTACGTTAGAAATAGAACTTAAAAGGAAAACTATTCGAATCAAAAGATAAAACATTGAAAAATAGCTTATCGTGTTCGAATTTGGAAAAACAGACTACGGATTCGGACTCATGACGTCAAAAAACATAAAAATATGTGTTTTTAGAAATTTTGACTTTTTGGGTCGAAGTCAACTTATTGACTCGAACGAGTTGGTCTGAGTTGACTCAATTTACATAAACTCGACGAAAAATGATACCCACGTGCGACGGTGGCGTGTGGCAGCTCGTGTAATGGATGACAGGGATAGTAACGGCGGTCGAACACTCAGATGGCATCCAAACATCACAAACAACTCATATCAGTCTAGAAATCAGCCAAAACTCGACGAAAATTAAAAAGAAAAACAACCAAAGCTTACCCCAATGATTGACAGAGAAAATCATGACGGGAAGGAATAGTATTGGTTGGATTATGGCCGAAACTGAGAAGGGACCCTGATGGCGGTGGTAGTGAGGCAAACCGACTACGGAATCGACATGAAAATTGTGAAAACCACGATGGTGGGTGAAGCTTTCTGACGAGGCTTTCTCAATTGATTTACGACAAATGGTAGGCTTAGACAGAGAGAGGTTTGTCAAGTTTTCCTACATGTGAGACGATGAGCTAAATGGTGGTGGTGTCGATGCCTACGGTCACATGTGGTGGTCAAAATTGTAAGGAGAAGAAAACGACGATTTTAGGTTT